ACACCTCCGGGGTGTCTTTGTCCAGGACGATTCTGTCTGGGAGCATTCTGTCCGGAATGATTCTTCTCAAGACCATCCTGTACAAGAGTATTTTGTCTAGATATTTCCGGTAAACCATCACAAAAAAAAAGAAAGAAATACATAGGACAGCTTTCTCGAACGCTTACGAAATTGATTCGACAAATTCTCAGTTTTACGAACTGGCCTCGTTCGGCGACAAACTGCTTTCCTACCAGTTGTCTGTCGGCGAACGGGCTTTTGACAAATTGTCTGACCAATTAGCACAAGAGGTGAATCCCATGTGGGGCCCATGTAGGCAATGGGGGCTCGGGCAGCCCCTGAGAAACACACGTTGGTCCCACGTGGGCGCAGCATGGACATGTCCAGTAAGGGACTGCCTACGCAGTGCCGCGGTGGATTCGGATATGCGAGGGAAAAGTTGGGCACAGCGTGGGCACGCCCAACTTAGGGTGCCCATGTAAAACCCCCTTGGGACCCACCTCGACTCTACTGGGGCCAAATGCGATATGAGGGCTCCACGGCAGCGATGCGTGGGCGTGCCCGAGTTGAGCTTCCCACGTAAAACCCCAGGGGGTACAACCTCGGCTCTGCAGGGGCCAGGTTTGCGAAAATTTGAGTTTTACGGCTCTAAAGCGTGGACATACCCAACTTGGCCTGCCCATGTAAAAACCCCATGGGACCCACCTCGGCTCTTTGGGGGCGAAGCTGCAATATGTGGGCTCCGCGGTGATAAAGCGAGGGCATGCCCAACTTCGGCTACCCATATAAACCCTCGTGAGACCCAGCTCGGCTCTACGAAGGCCAAATATAATGATGTGGGTGGGCTTGACGGTGGCCAAGCGTGGGCGTGTCCAAGGTGGGCTCCCATTGTAAAACCCCCGTGCCCACCTCGGCTCTGGGGAGGCCAAGTTTACGAAGATGGGGGCTCCATGGCGGCAAAGCGTGAATATGACCAGACCCCCGTGGGTCACCTGGGCTGTACGGGGCCCAAGTTTGGGCTCCATGTCGGAACTGTGCGAGATTGACTGACTTCGGCTGCACATGTAAAACCCCCTTGGGTCCCACCTAGGCTGTGCGTGAGCCACGTTAGCAATGGTGCGGGCTCCATGGTGACAAATCGTGGGCGTGCCCAACGTGGACTGCCTAAGTAAAACCTCCGTGGGTTCTCACCTCGGCTGTGCATGGGCCAAGTTAGCTACGGTGTGGGCTCCACGGTGACAAGGCGTGGGAATAAAGCTCACTTGGGCTGCCCTTGTGAAACCCCCGTGGGTTTTACCTGGGCTGTGCGTGGGCCACGTTAGCAATGGTGCGGGTTCCATAGTGCAAAGCATTGGTGTTCCCAACCTTGGCTGCCTAAGTAGAACCCCCGTGGGTCCCACCTAGGTTGTGCAGGGGCAGAGTAGGCACAAAGATAGGCACCACTGGGGCACCGCGTGCGAATGCCTAACTTGGGCTTCCCATTCATGCTTCCTGGGTCCCATCTCGGCTATACGGGGACAAGGTTAGCACAGATGTGGGCTCCAAGGGGGCCGAGCGTGGGCATGTCCAACTTGAAATACCTGTGCAACTCCCAAAACGGCACTTTTCGCTAATATCGAGGATATTTACTGCACGCTCTAGAAATTCAGCGTAGGAGATCGGCTTAAAGGGATACTACAACGAAATTTTGGCACTTCGTTTTTGATCTATACGTGTTCAAAGGAGCAGTATCACATCGGACACACCAATATCTTGTTAAAAAAGACACAAAAAGGAATTTTTAAACGAATTAAACGATTAGCAAAAAGCACTTGGTGGATGTCTGGATGTCACTAAAGCCTCATTTGTAATGCCCGTGTAGAAACCTTGAGAGGCAGTGACGATAACTGTCTCGCCTAGAACTATTTGAACCTGACGTCATCCCGACTGCTCGACGGCAAGCACAAGAGAAGAGGGGACGGAGGAACTTCCCGCTCAACGGGACTCTTTTTTGTGTCGCTATTTCCCATCTAGAATAATATAGAAGATTAACCCGGTCACTCAATATTCACACAAAAGCAGCTTTGCGGTTAGTTGCGGTGGCCCGGTCGCTGACGCGCTTTGACCACATGGGTGGCTGGAACGGCAAGGGCATCCTGACGACGTGAGCCTCGCCGCAGCTTTGCTCCGAGACAAACTACGCCACGATTGCGCCGGATGTGACGTGCTCTCCGCTGACTTCTCTCTGAGCGTTTGCCAGAATGGGCCATTTATAAAAAAAAAAATACAGCCACCAGGCTCAAAATACAAACGTGCGGTTGTAATTTACAGATACTGTGGATTCTATTCAGCCTAGTTTTGAACACGACGGGTATATTTCAATTTTCGTTGAAGTATCCCTTTAAAGGGACATTTTGACAGGGCATTTTTGCTCGCCAAGATTTTTATTTTTACATGAAATATGAAATCCCAACTACCCAGAAAATAATTTCCGGCTCGACATTCGTTTTCTTTCCGCGCGAAAGCCGCCGATCGAGAACTGACCGGTTTGAGTCGTGCTCAATCTCTTCTCCGTAGTCACGTGCCGTTTTCTATGGTTTAGACACAATCACCGAATATAATCGAAGTCGTGGGTAATCGAAGACAGACTCAATATTAGAAATAGAAAAGAAATATAACATCCATTTTTTTTTGTGACTTCACAATCCTCCGCTGGCAGAACGACTCCTAGCTCCAGACAAAAAGATGGGTCTGAGTTCAAAATCTGGATGACGTCACCAGCACCTTGCTAGCTCCAAGCGTGACGTGCCATTCAAAAACAGCTTAAAAAAAAAGCAAAAGAAGAAAAGAAGTAGACAAAAGAATAAGAGGACACATAGAGGCGGGCGTAATGGACTTCTTCCAAAACCGACGCGCCCCATTGCGGCGAAACACCACGCAGTGCACTCTGGGAACTAGTTGGCCACTCAGTTTCGGTTTCGACCGAGCAGCTTCATCTCATGCTATCAAGCCGCGACCGAACGCGCTGCTTGCGTTTTCGATTATCTGACTTTTCATGAACGTACAATACACTCATTCTCGAGCAATACAAAACGAAACGGGGGCACTTTCTTGGTTTCCGAAACACCGGATATTAAAAGTGCGTGTGCAAACGTAGTAAGACGTGGCTTAGTCACCTCACCTTTGAGTTCAATTTCAATAATTCCGTCTAGTACCAGAGAACTACAACTGAAATTTGGACCTGGAGCCTTACATGTATTTCGTTTGCCAAACGTCCGCTTCTTGTTGCTTCACTGGACAAAAAGCAAGCCGCATCCTCACAGGAGTATCAAAGTTGAGCCCACCGTTGACGCATGAACTTTTAAGGAAACGCAATAAATTCGACCTCACTACTGCACCAAAGTTACTACGATGTCTTCCTCGCCTCATCATATATCTCCCACTCAAATTTTATGCTGAGATCGGCTAGCTACGACGGAGGCCCTAACAAGCGTCCCCTACTCCTCGCTCAGCTTTTTTAGACGAGCTTTTACTGACGCCCAAGATCTGTGCCTGAATGGTGTGTCTGAAATTCTCTCGGCATACTCAAGCAGGAAGAAAGCGAACACATAACAAATATTATGGCCATTAGCAACCGTCAAATGCGCTTTGAACAATTTCGTTCGTTTGGCGCACCGCATAGGGGTTCATGCCCGTCCGGCGCACTTCTGGCGAACGGTGCGACATTTTTCCCACAAGTGCTCGACTTTTGCTTTCTTAAAACGGTTTGTGTGTGCAAATGTGCCTATACGACTGGCAGGATAACGTTGTGCACATACGCGATGTTGAATATTAGTAAAACGGAAGTGGGTGGGGACTTCGCATGGTGCGGGTCAGTACAGATAAGATATAAGAAGTGCGTTAAAATTGAGCTTTTCAATGGTGCCTCCGAGTTTTGCCTCGCGTACTCAGGCGTATTAAGAAAACAGTAATTGCAAAAAGTAATATTTCGCCGATGGAGGCACGAAACAAACAAACTTCATGATTAACAACACTAACGTAAAGGCGCGAGCTTGATGTATGCATACTTATTGGTTGCTACAGCTTGTTGATTCGTACATAAGCAAGATCCCCGAGCTTCGCAGCGTCGAGTTTCCCAGCACTGGCTCGTCCGCATACCTCGAAACGCTAACAGAAAGGCTCAAGTACAAAAATACAACAAGCATGTGTTAAGAGACAAGCTATAAGACTCGGGCTTGTGCTAACGCTTCGAGGTCTGGACATTTAGGTTAGTTTAGAGACCACAAATGACGCTCTCGGGATCAGAAAACTTGAGATAAAGGCCGTTACTAGTCCGCGCTCTCGACGTGTCGATCGAAACCGAAACCATGCTACTCTCCTCCCTGGCCAACTAGTTCCCAGAGTGCAACGCGCGCCGTGTTGCATGCAGGGCTTTATGGAAGTAGTCTATTGGGGAATCCATTTTGTCTTTTGTTGGCTTCTGGAGACTAGGAGACTGCGTTTTGTTCGCGCCTTGTTTCCTGTTCGGTCACTTGGCTCCAATTTTGCGATCCATTCACCTTTGCCCTGGTGTCTGACGATCCCTAGTTCTGTATATTGTTCGGCGAAAATTGTTCTTCAAGGTTGCAAAATGTATTTGAGATACTGAGTACAAAAGATTGAGGCATGTAATTAAGATAGAGTAGTGAATATACTCTAGACTATATAGACTAAATGTATTTGCAAGTTACCAAAATACTACAAAAAGTATTTGAAATACAGTATCTTGAGTAGAGTATTTTAGATAAGCACAACTCTGGTTTCAGTTCAAACCCAAAATAAAGCTGTAGATCAGGACCTTCTTTCCGAGAAGCTTGAATTTATCTCATATCAAGGCAGCCCCGATTCGATGGTTTTCGGTTTCCCCTGATTTTAATAAAACCAGGGTTAAATTTTCGGGGTTTATGGAAAACGCGGATCATATGCTTTTGCAGCTCGCAGACGTGACCTCGGATACGTGTTTGAATCGGTCATGCGCAGCATTTTATTCAAGACAATTTCATTCATTTTTTATTTTTTTATTTTTGTACCAAAATGGGTAATTGGCACATATTTGTTCTCGTACGATTAAAAAAAAAAAATACAATGCCCCTAGTTTGCCTCGGGTACAAATGCAAAACCCCAGAATGAACTCTCCGGGCTTAGTAAGGGAGTTTTCGTCGACCGATTCCGTCGTCCTCCCGCAACATTCCGCCCAAACCGCTTCAAGATCAGGAACACAGCAGACAAGGCAACTGCCGCGCATGCGCAGTAGTGGCGTCTGTTGCGGAGAGTGGATTAGAGTGGGGAAAACTGTCTACGTAAACTCCGTAATATGTAGTTTTAGTTCCGATAGTTCCGATAACGACGCGATCCTTTGCACATGCATCGTATCGCTATCGCCATCGGGTGTCGTTTTCGGAGTAATCGGAACGATCCACTGAAACTCCATAATGTCCACAGAGATAGCTCGATGATCCTCGGTCCTCAAAACATCCCGACCCTTCAGAAGAGCGGCCTAGGTGGCAGCAGGATCGGTCCGGGCGCAACGTGTAAGGGCACGAGGACTTGGCCCTGACCAGGGCCGTTCCGACAGGCGCTCAGCGGGATGCAGAGTCCCTTCTTGTCCCGGATGAAGCCCTTGTCGCAGAAGCAGCCCGGCACGCACTGGGCCGTGCAGACCCGGCCGGGTGCCTCGCCGCAGACGGCGGGACAGGCCGAACCGCAGTGGTCGAAGACCTCGTTGCGCTTGCACTTGTCCTTCTGGCCGCCGCACTTGGACCTGGATGGGATGGAGAAGGGCGAACGAAAATAACGAATCTGAGTGTGGTCGAAGAGATGGGGGTGGTGATGTAAGAAGGAATAAAAAATATCCCCAAAACAGCAATAAAAAGAAGAGACACATGCTTGATCATGCTGACCAATACCGGAAAGCAACGAATGTGTTGAGCGCAAACTGCCACCTCGCTTGGAAATTGACGCCGCCTGACTCGAGGTCACATGACGCGGTCACGTCACGTGACATAAATTTCCCCGCAAAATTTAGCAGAGAAATTGGCATCATATGACCTGAGGTTACATGACGTGACATCAATTTCCCCCTAGATTTAAGGGGGAGGGGGTTGACGTAGCGGTCTTTCATGACGCTCCTTCGTGACGGATCTTTATGACGGTTTTCTTTTGAAATTCGGCTGATAAAACTATGGTTCTTTGATAAAAATTGTGCGAACGGGCATAGGACCAGAGCCCCTACATCAGCTACGATAGATTATAGGTACCCAATCCCCGATTATCTTGTGGGCGCCACCACTTTGGTGCAGTGCAGAGCGCGTGCAATAGACCCTTTTCAAAAGTACATCGAGCAACATTCGCGGTCGCCATTGGTCCAAAGGTTCTCCTTGGTCACAGGAGAGCGTTGAGCTGAATGAATTGTACGTTAAACCCCCCCCCCCCCCCAAAAAAAAAAAAACAAAAAACAAAAAAAAAAACGTGTTTTTTGGTTTGGGTAAATCAACTATGTATCGGAATAATCGCAGAATGCTCAAACTCTGTGAAGATGTGTTTTGACCTGCGTGGTTGGGACAGAATGAGAAAGTTTGAGAACGTTACGTTATTTGGATCAAAAGATAATTGAGAAAAGTTAACCTTCTCTATGAGTCGAAAAGCTTTGGAGTAAGCCAACGGTTCAATTTCGGACTCTGATTGGCGCTTCTTCATGGACGTCACAACGCGTGGTTTAGGGGGGTGAGAGGCGTAGGTAAAGAAGCCCCAGTGATTCACACACTAACCTTAGGCTTATTTACGATAACGAAAGGGGGACATGGAAAACACAAAATACATGGAAGACAAATAGGCAACACAGCCTGTGCTGTCTGTTTGTCTTTCATGTCCCTCTTTCGTTTTCGTAAATTAGAAACCAACACGCTCAACCCATTAGCCCTAGCCGGCTCTAAGATTAGCTTACCCGATACGCGTAAGCAAATCTGTTAACCTTGTAAGGGTTAGCAGGATACTTTAGCAGAGCGATGGACTGGAGGCGACCTCCTTTCCAGCGTTCACTCTGCTAAACTGTAAAGAGGTGGGAGGAGCTTCCCCTAAAGCTGTCACCGACTACAGTTTTACATGACCTTTAAGGCACCGCCTCTCGTCTCTTAACTCCCGTAAATCAGGCTAAGTGTCCACGAAAACGCGGCAATCAGAGTTGCAAAATCCATGGGACCGTTGACCTACTGCGCAAGCTTTTCCGAATACGCTTCCCGGCACTGACCTGTGGACGCAGCGGCCGTCTCTGGTCTCCCGGATGTAGCCGGGCTTGCAGTTGCACTTGGGACGGCAGATCCTCTCGTTGAAACCCTGGCGGGGTCCGCCCCCCGACCGGCTACAGGGCACTAGATCTCCCTCCTGGCACGTGGGCTCGCAGTGGGCGTTGCACTTGGGGTTCCACACCTCCAGCTCGCGGTCGCAGGATCGAGGCCCTGTCACGACGAACAAAAAAATATCATTATACATCGTTTCACGTTAAATCTAAACGCAGCGGACGCTACGACCTGATGGAAGCAATCAGACAGCGTCAAAAGCGCCCGTCATGGTGTTCGTCACGTTTCTATACGTGTTCTGTCATCACTGAACCAATTATAAACTGAAAAGGCATAGTGACTTGCGCGTTTGACGCTGTTTGATTGATCCCAACGCCTCGTAGCGTCTTAGGCAACGGTGAAGAGTGACGACACAATCTTGCATGCGGTCCGCGAAATGTTGTCACCCAGACCCACCGTGCCCTGATCCCGCAGTCGTTTTCGGCTGCGAAGCGAAATATACCTATTTAGTTGCTCATTATAAGCGTCTCACCCATTTAAAGAAATCTTTCAATTGATAGGCTCGCTATTTTATGTGGTACGTCGAACTCTTGATTGCATTTTGAATACATGAAGTGTTCGAGAGAACATCAACAGTATTTAGTATTTTTTTTTTCTACAGCTCCCTCTCTTCTGCACCATACGGCATACATTATGGTATGCAGACCTGTTGAATGTATTTTTAATGCATAGAGTGTTCGACATGACATCAACAGTGTTTAGCCCTTTTTCTATACTACCTCTCTTCTTCAACATGCGAGATACATTTAATGTGGTGCGTAAAACTGTTGATTGTATTTTTAATGCATGAAGTGTTCAACAGCGTCAACAGTATTTAACATCTGTTATATAGCTACTTCTCTTATGCAGAATGCGTCATATTGTTGATCGTATTTTTAATGCCTAAAGTGTTCGACAACATCAAGAGTGTTTAGCAATTTTTCTATACTCGCTCTCTTCTGCACCACGCGACATATATTTTATGTGGTACGCAAAACTGTTGATTGCATTTGTAATGCATGAAGTGTTTAACATCATCTACAGTATTCAACGTTTGTTCTATATCTTTTTCTTTTCTGCCCCAAGCAAGATACTGTAGACTTTCTTTCTAATGCATGGAGGGTTCGACGTAACATCAACAGTGTTTAGCATTTTTTCTATACTCCATCTCTTCTGCACCATGCGACATACATTTGATGTGGCACGTAAAACTGTTGATTGTATTTTGAATGCATGAAGTGTTCGACAGAACATCAACAGTATTTCATTTTTTTTCATGCCTCCTTCTCTCATTCTACGTGACATACACTTGGAAAATATTACAATGTATTTAGAGCTACAAGATTGCTACTCTAATTTCTCTAAAATTTACGATCGCAGCCATCCTCAATTTCTTCTATACTTGCAGACTAGCCGCGTATTGGTGCTTCGCAGTCATTTACAGTTCTCCGCTGCCGTATAAACAGCGTTTAAACGCTGCCTACACGGCAAAGTTTATTCGCACTAGACAAAGAGGCTCTTCGCTATTATATTAATCCTCTTTTTCGAGATACCAAAATCCCTAGCTCGTGTGCGTGTGTTGTGTCCAACAGAAACGGCGGAAGGAGATTTATTGCCATTACCTTCCAGGCTTTGACCAGCAGCCAAGTTGTAGAAGCAGGCCAGGGCCACGACGAGCAGCCCAATCATCTTGGACATGATGAAGACCTCGCGAAAAGCGCTGGAGGGAGCACGAACGAGGAAAAAACCTGTCAGATCTTCAATCACGTCGCTCGCGCATCGCCAAAAATAACGTTTCGCGTCACTATAGATGCCACAGGAAACGCATAAGCGTCTTCCACGTTGTCGCGTTCCTTGGCGAAGTCGGATCATCAACTCTGCCAATTAGCAAGCCCTAACCGGCTTCGGCAGACCTGACATGTTGTACTGTTGATTTTGATCAATAAAGACTGTTATTATTATTATTAAATACACAGAAAGAGATATCAGTTTAATGAAATGACGCGTATATTATTCGCGATATGCAGGGTGTCTGTTAATAGAGGGTACGGAAATAAAACAGAGTTTGCGTTAAGCCGCAGTCCGCACAAAAGACAGTGTGCAGACAGTGTCTGCGGTGTGTTCCCTCCTTGTATATGATGGTCTTGTCACATTGGTCGTACAAAGACCACCTGCAGACATGTGCAAATCATACACATGTATAAAACATGCTTCGAACACGCTTGAGTCGTGTCTGCACACAGTTCTGTCATCATGTCTACTCCGTGTCTTTTGTATAGATGTACGAGCTGCGGGACTACGACTTAAGGTTTTTTTTTTTTATTCTGGTGCTCGGTTGCTGGTCATTACGACCACTAGAAAAAGAGGCATGTTAATTAATGAGTTATCTAATTACCTAATGATTCTCGATCAACTTTTACAATTTTTAAGGGGGAGATAATGTAATAATACTTAAAAAACAAGCGAGCTGGTGTTGATTCATGGTAATAAAACCCGAGACGTTGTGTTGTTGAGACGTTGTGTTGTGTCCGTCCCCTTCTGTGTTCCGGAGTCTCGGGTATTATTACCATGAAATAATGTAGTTGGAGGACTGACACTGGGGGCACTCGTTATGGCCTAGCCGTGACGCGAAATTTTTGACTGAAAGTTCGTACTGGGTGCTACAGGACGAGAAATGTCATCGTCTTCGAGACCGAACCAGCGAAGCGCGCCCCCGACGTCGACCCCTTCGCTCTGCACTCGCGTAGTACCAATCGCGCCAGCTGAGGCGCGCGGGCGCAGCAACGGAGGATGGCTCCGAAATGTATACGCATGACATCACACATGACGCAACGTAGCGTCGAAGGCGCAAAGAGGCTGTGTGTGCATTCTGTATTAGCGCGTTTGTTTTGCCTGGCGGTTTCGGTTTCGACTGCCGAGGGTCGGTCTCTCTGGATGAGGTCACATACCAAAAAGCGCAAGTGTGGCGGCGGTTACACCAGCCCGAAAATTGTGATGCATTGGTGGGTTAGTCTGCTGTTATTCCGGGACACGGAGTGGCGCACATGCATGGCGGCCATGGAGGTTGGAAGCTTCTAGAGGCAATATGACTCCATGAGAGGTGATGCCGGGTGTAACTTCCGTTTTGGAGGGATGACCCAAGGATGACCAAAAAGCGAACAAAATCAAAAAGACGCCATTGGACGGAAAGGATAACCTTGGGCACTCTTGGAGGCGTTCCCGCCGACCGCGACCTCTACTTCCGGCTTCACTTTGGATTTTCTCGTTTTGCTGGCTTGAGCCGGTATGTCACCTCCTCTTCTTCCTACGTTTATGATCGCGGCACAATGTTTTTTTCTTGGGGCCGCCAGCTGCCCGCCTCGGTCTTTGAAGTCATCCCAAGATCCTGTCTTTCAGCAGCCGAAACCAAAAGCACTACGATAAAAATTACGTAAAAAAGAAACAAACAAAAAACAAAACATTCACAACATCTTGGGGCACCCTACTTTGCGCTCCATGATTAATGATGCCATGGGAATTTTCGGAATATAAAAATGCAACCACATAAGCTGGATGTCTCTACAATATAAAGCAACCTACTCCATTTAGGCTTCTTTTTCCTTCACTCGATTGAAAAGGCTATTTGATTGATGCGTGTTGTACGCATTCGACGAACGGATCATTTACAACAAGAACGTGCGAATCTTACTTTGACGATCGAAACTTGGGGGTGTCTCTATTATACACTTGGTTCAGGAGACATCATGATATAAACCCATAACACGCTGCATTAAGCATAGAAGTATTGGGCCTGTCGTCATATCTTGACTGGATAACAACAACCAAGGTGCCATCCACTCAAAAGCGTTTCAAGTCGCTTGATTTCAATTTATCTTAAAATTACGTGTACCATTGCAATGTGCTCAAAGATGATTTAAATCCGCATCAACAAAGCTAGACAACAAAGCAGAATGAAACTTCGCCGACTTCGTGGTTTTTTGGCGGGTCGGTACTTAAGTGTCTTGGACACTTAACGGGTAGATTATGTAAGCATGTTTTGAGCCTGCCAAAAGTAATGAACCCTACAGGAGATTTGTATGGCTACCCGCTAAAAACTTGGAAAAGAAACACGGACGTATATATGTAGTCACTGAACGTTTAACAAGTGCGGGGGTGTGAGACATCTTATACAGTCAATATTATTGCGGCATTAGCCCATAAAATGCAGACAAACCAGTTACGAAGCAAAAAAAAAAGTGAGTATAACTAACCACGCTCAACTTTTCTTACACTGTCAGTAACTATACTGTTTGTAGGAAAGCAACAACATAATGCCAAAAATATCGGCTTGACAAAAGATCAATTCGACAAATGGGACCCGGAGAACTGTCAATATTGAGAAAGCTTGCCATTCCGCCGGAGGTTTCGAAGCTGGTTAATCTGTCAGTCCGCCACAAAAAAAAAAAAAAAAAGAAAAAAAAAAAAGAAGAGGGAGCTTGAACTTCACTTACGTTTGAAGCGAGAAAACGCGCTTCCTAGGTTGTCGAAACAAAGAGGTGGGTGAAGCCAAGGGACGTTCGGCTAGACAGGCAGGCACACCGAGCACACACGAAACCCGGTCTTACCCCCGTCTGCTATCAAAGGCGCCTTACCTGGAAGAGTTGCAGACAGACGAGTGACGAAGTTTCCTCCGAGAAGCCAAGGTTATCCGCAGCGGGAAACAGTCGGCTTTTGCGTTTTCCTTTCTTCTTTAGCTCCCTCGCCTCTTCCCTTCTCTCCTGCCGACCATTGCGAGCATCACATGCAAGCGTTAGCACGTGTCGAGGCGCGCGAGCAAACCGGCTCGTTCACGCGCCGCGCGTGACCGGAAAAGTAATTGAGGTCGCCTGGTCGGGCACGCACCGACCCCTGCCAAGAAGATGCGATCGAACAAGTGGGCGTGCTTGTACGCGTGATTATAGTCACTAGCGTGCCTAGTTGAGAGTGTCTCCAACCGATCGATCCAGGTCACGTGGTTAACGGGCAGCGTTTGAAGCACAAGCTGCAAGGAAGAGGTGGAGGCGAAAGCTGTGATTTGTTTTGATAGTCTACCTGCGGGCGTCTTCAAGCTTGGATCAAACTCTCTGCCGGCTGGCCTCCTCACCACAAGGCACAACGCGCGCTTGCGCGTGAGCAACCAATTTACCCACCATTAAATTGCGAAAGGTCTTTATGGTTTGAGTTACGGCCTCTTTTTAAATCTAGGCTCCCCACCTGTACCCTTCCGAACGGAATGGCGGAAGTACGTCACACCCTTTCTTGTCTCACTTCTCCAGAAGACGTTGTTGGACAACCGGAAAGCTTTTGATGCAACAGGTTACGAAGTTGGGCGTTGGCAGCCTGAGACAAGCGGATGCAGAGACGCACAGGGGAAAGAATGTGGCGGTTCGAGACAAAAATAAAACGAGAAGAGTTGGGCCGCGCAAAATGGCCGCCTCAACACTTCCGCCGCACTCTCTGCGCCATATGATGCCGGCTCCTCCTCGCCTTAGACCTCCACCGATGACGTGCTCCAACAAGTTTCAGGAGCGAATTGTAATGGTTGTAATGCAGACATCTCCTCGAGGTGCGTGTACATTTTCCCGTTATGTGTGTTTTTTTGGCGAGCCAGAAAATTGCAGTTTGTTATTCCAGCGGCGTAGGGGCAAGTTTGCTCGCAGTCTGAGTCAGAGCTATCGCCATCGTTGGGGGATTCTTTCGGAAGTTTTGTTTTTGCGTTTTGAATAGCTGTGTGTTGCGTGTTTTGTACACTTTATTACTGTTTTATGGCCAAGTGCGTCCGAGTGTTACCCCTTATAATTTATGTATTTTCTTTCTGCGATCGACCTGAAGATGTTCCAAGTTTCCGGATTTGCCAAGTTTTTGCTCTTTTGTTTGGAATATTCAATTAGCATGCAAGTTATTCTTTTGCATTGGATTGCTAACACGACTTAGCACATGCGGCTGCACTGCGCAATAGAGACGTGTCTAAAGACATCGTTAACGAACCATCAAAAATAACTTTGAAGTCATAAACTCCGTGTGGCAACCACGCAAGAATGTAAGAAGAAAAAAAAAAGGACTGAGTAGTAGTACACTAAAACATCACGTTATAAACACAACTATATTCGAAAAAACAAAACAAAAAAGCATTGAAATTTTAGAATATCTGGCATCCTCTCCAATATGTATATTATGAAGATATTATCAGCCAACTATTTGAATTTACCACGGATCTTCACTTTAATAATCATTCCTCAGCAGAAACCGACGTTATTTTCATTGATTTTTTGAAAGCTTTCGATACCGTACCGTACTTAAACTTTCTCTCCTCCACATCCATTCTTCAGTCATCAGTTGGATAGCTTCGTCTCTAACAGACAGAGAGCAGTCCGTTTCAGTCAACAGTTCTTCATCAGCATCAGTTGCAGTAACTTCCGGTGTTCCCCAAGGCAGCGTCCTCGGCCCCCTTCTTTTCCTTATCTATATTAATGATCTTCCTTCTTCAATTAACTCGACTATTCGGCTATTTGCCGATGACTGTGTTGTGACAGAAAAATTACTGACCCAACAGATCATTACATTCTTCAAAACGATCTCGACACCATAAGCTCCTGGTGCACCCATTGGAAGATGAATATTAACCCCGGAAAATGCAAACAAATGACCGTTACCACCAACTCGACCAAATCATCTCGCGAATATTCATTACTGTCACAACAATTAGAGGGTGTCTCATTATACAAATACTTGGGTGTCCATATTTCTGAAACATTATCGTGGAATGAACATATCGACAACATAATCGCCAGCTCAGCGAGATCATTAGCTTTCTTGAGGCGGAACCCCTATCTGGCCCCTGCTGCGACAAAATTACTCGCCTATAAAACAATAATTCGACCCAAACTTGAATACGCAAGCGTTGTGTGGAATCCACATCAAAATTATCTAGTATCAAACCTAGAATCCATTCAAAACAAAGCTACCCGGTTCATCCTAAACGATTACTCTCCACAAAGTAGTGTCTCCGCCTTAAAATCAAGACTTGGTCTCGCTTCATTAGCCACACGGCGCAAAATTAACCGCATGTGTTTCTTCCATCAAGTTTACCACGGTAATTCACAGTTCAGAAATATTTATTGTCAAAAAGCCCATTATATTTCTTCTCGAAACGACAACACATGTAAACTCTTTCAATACCGCTCCCATAATAACTCATTCGTGTTTTCTCCCTTAATAATATGTATTACAGAATGGAATAACTTGCCAGATCATTTTGTAACCAACTTAGATATTACAGCGTTTCAAGAAATGTGCGCGCTTTTGTTCAATGAGTAGGGGACGTCTGTTTGTGTATATATATATCTTGTTTTCTTTTGTGGTTAGACGAGATGTGGTTGTGTTACTGTTCTTACGTTATGTTTTATATTGTATTCCCATTTATTGCCACCCCCCTCATGCAATGCGTCCTCAAAAAACGCCCTTGAGGTAAATAAATGAAATGAAATATGGTTGAGCAACACTACATATTTGTACTTATAATAGTACTCCTTTGTCTTTTAAATGAAAATGAAATAAACGTTTGAAATACATATGCACGAATAAAAACACCTAAGATCCATATGCTGATAATGTGAATGTCAAAAACCAAAATTCTCGGGCTCTAAACAAAAAACAAAAAACAAAAAAAAACCTTCAATGTCGTATTGCCTCGTGCATGATCGAGAAAGTACACGGTCCTCTATTCCTTTAGAGGAGTGGTTCTCAACTATCGATGTTTCGCGGACCCCTTGTGGATTGGCGCAGATGATGGAGGGCCCCGTTCGTGGTGAGAGGAGGGGAAAGATATAGGGTAACTATGATAATGAATAAAAATTTGATATAACTAAGGTCTAGTGTGAAGTAGACTTCTGTCATTTACTTACACACGAGAAATCTCGCCCGGAAATTGGAACGTTTCTTCTCAGCCTGAAAAAAGACAACTTTTATTGCGGGGCTTGTCTGATGAGGCAGGGCTTCGCGGTCCACTAAAATGCCTTCGTGGACACTAAAGGCTCCGTGAAGCATTTACTCATCTAGAATATTCGCGTCGCGTACACTCTTACACCAAGCGTGAACGATAAGGAGGCCAGAAAGACTTTGCCTAGTTAGTGTCGCCCTAGCTTTTCCCCAAACATTCTAGGTCGCTAGACAGAATATTTCAGATGACCAGCATACTAGATGAAGAGCCGAGCGCCCTATTGCCGATTCATTCACTGCTACGCCGACGTACTGTCGCCTGCTGCCGCCGCCATCAACGCTTGCTGCTGTTTTCGTGACGTATGCTCTTTTTACAGCGAAGCTGTTTATGGCTATGGTTTCGTGGATATTTCATGTGCGTCAACAAAATTTCCGGTCCCGAATTCGATGCGAAATTGCTTCATTCTATGCAAAAGCTTATACGTATCATCACTTGAATATGCATTTTTTGTAGATTAGGACGCACCATTTTCAAGGTCAGTAGAGACTCAGGTCGATAATATAGGTTTCTCAAAGATTTGTCGCTGTGCGACCCGCGTCGGCCATGTCTCCGCTCGCAACGCCCTCTCTCTGTCGTCGTTCCAAGCGCTCTCGTGCCTAGTTTCCTTTCCTTCCGCCGGGTGGCGGTCCCGTCGCGCGTGTCTAGTTTCCTCCGGGTCCTCGGGGCGGTGGGGGGGAGGGGGGGGGAGGGGGTGGTTGTGACGTGTGCTAAACAGCTTCGCTGGTCATCTACCTTTACAGAGAAGATTGGGTCATGATTTTTTTTTTTCGTTTCTGGCGCAACAAGGGAAGTCTGCTACGATTAACATGGCAGTGACATTTTGCCAAAATATTTCTGATTGATACTCCTGAGTTTCGGAAGCTCCAACATACTTAAACATGTGTTTTGTGGTATCTTATGCCATAGCATCCTCTATACTAACAAAGCCTGGCAGATCGATAAATGTGCTGCGCTGCGACGCACTAAAGAACAAAGGTGTGACTAAAAAATGAAAGGAAAACAATTCTTTGGTCACGCGTTTGTTCTGTAAACGTCGCAGCACAGCCACATTTAGCCATGTACAACCAACTACCCCAAACCCAAGTCTAGGCTTTGTTATCCTGGCAGATCGTCACGTGACGCGGCCGCCGAAAGTGAAGAAAATAGAGCGGAAGACCATAGAGGTATTATGATGTACGCTAGAGGTTCAACTGGCGCTAGTGTCTATGCGACTTCCGTGACGCAAATTGAAGCAGACAGTAACCAGTCTATACTTTTGCGGTGCTCCTGTGCATTCCTATGGGAAAACGCGCGTGCATTTTGTCTCTTCGCCGAAAAATAACACGGAACACTTTGGTTATTTCGTTCGTATCGAATAGTATGTGTCTTAATTAACATTGTAAAAGTGTAATTGCTTTAGTTAACGCATTTTTCTTCATCAGTCAGCGATGCTAACTCCGCTACATTTCAGTCCCAAACGTGTGTTCCGCAGCAGATGTGTAAAAACAAGCGACGATTCAAAGCAAAATTACAATCGAAAGGAGTATGCAGTGTGTTCAAGGCTCGCCAGCATTCCGGTGACGCTTAAATATATTGATAATGCCAGTCCTGGTCACTATATCAAAATGACCCCATCGTGCATGAGCGGATAAAAGCATCCAAAACGGAGATAATAAAGTAAGTAGGCTATGAAAGGTGTCTCTTGTTATTGTTTTCTCTGTCGGGCAGCTTTTATCGGGCAGTTGTTCTTAAAGATTTCGAGCGTGCGGGTGATATCATGAACGTACGAACAAACATCTTCGCACAGAGCAGAAAGGATAAAGCGGTACTTGCTTATTTAAAATCGGAATATATTACGTGGCCTTCAATTTATTTTGATCGTACATGCACTGGTAGTTACTGATCCAGTGTTACTGCGTAGTTCTTGCCGTCCGTCTCCCTTTATTTCCAGATGTTCTTCGTTCGTCTAGCACGTATATCCCTCATGCTGAAAAGCGCCGACGTCGTGTTCGCGCTAACAGTGTCTGACAGTGCAAATAAATACACGTACGAAGCCGTTTTAGCACCGTTTTTGATCCGACCATTTTGAAAGAAAAACGCCGTAACTGACCTATTATTTCCTCGGCCTGACTGAGAAATGTTCCAAGCTACTTAGTACGTACGAATTATTCGCGATATTTGCTCTTATGATCGAGCGCAGGGAGAAAATGCACTCACTTTTTCCCATAGAAATGCATTACCGGAAGTCAATTGTCGACTGGTTGCTGTCTGCTTCAATTTGCGTCAGCACACTAGTGCCACTTGAACCTCTAGAGCGTACATTATAATAACTCTATGCGGCAGACAAGAGTCATGTAACGGGCAACCCGCTGCGGCGAGACGCAGAAACACACGTGTCCCGAGCGATGGAATGTCCGCTCGTACTCGTGTTCCTCGGGCTACCGCTTCTTTTCTCGTCAGGTTCGAAAACCATGTTTCTGATCCTCGCCGCTGCAAAAGCTGTGTGCTGACGTCCAGGTTCCCAGAGAAATGCTCTGTGCTGCCAGATCCTCGCGCTCTAAATGTGCGACTGTGCACTCTATGGTTCCGCCATCAAACTGCCAGGCTTTGTGAGTATACGTATATAGGAGGCTATGCTTTTGCTATGTATATATGCGCATGAGGAGCTCCGATCAAAAACTCATCAGTCATGCAAATAACTTAATTTGTGTTTTAAATAATATAATGCAACGAAAAAATCTGTGATATATAATTAAGGCTAGATATGCCCTGATATACCTATTAGCAAAGCCGCGCCATCTAGTAGCGCCGATTCCAAACTATGTGCACTCGCTGGGAGTGGCAGTGGTCACGTGCGCTGCTCCGGCGGGGCCGCGGCCGCCATTAGAGACAAGCACTCTGTAGTGCCCGCATAGCGCCTTTCCATGTGCGTTTTTATTGCTGTGCGGCACCGTGCAAGCAGAAAGGCGCGAAGGATAACCTCCCAAACAAGACGAGGTTTACTGTTTTGCTGCAAAAATACAGCTGTCAACGGAACAATGCATCAGTATAAACCACAATTCGTTAAGTGCGCGCTCCCTATGCTCAAAACGACTTAAGTCAGGATATGTGCGCGTGCACGAGAATTCTTTGTGACAGCTCGCGCAGTAAAAAGAACTATCACACAAGCACACGCACGCAGCTCTCCCCGAGGATATTTTGTTCGGGCGTGGCGTATGAGCAATTCTTAAATTCGAATACTGTCTTCTTCCAGGTGTTCCATTGCTTTCTTTCCCGAGCGATCCGTTTTTTGAAGCAATCGAGAAATCGTTATAAAACGTCAAGGGGCAAAACATAATAACACGAAATATACGAGGCTTTATCGGCTGAAGCAGTTCAGTCAGGCTGGCTACTTTCCGAACGTTGCTGTATAGTCGGCGCTTCATGAGGCAACAAGTTGTTACAAGTACACTGTAAACGACTCAATTTTCGCGAGGCGGGACCTAAGAAATATCGAGAAAAATAAATCACGCAAATAAATTACCCTACGGTAAGGAATGCTAAGCGTACCCCTCCAAATCGCGAAATATTGTGACCGCCAAATATTCCCGAAATTCAAACTTGGTAAATTTGGCGAAATATCGAGGCCTCGAAAATAAATTGAACAGTATTTGCTTTCGACGATGTCGAAAGGGCTAAGAGGAGAGAACGTCGTGTCGAAGACTGCCACAGCCGCCGAAGCTGAAGACGCGACAAAGGACGCGATCGTGCAAACGTCGGCAGCGATGGCGTGACAAGCAACCGAACCGTCGATGCAAACCGCAACGCGAACGAAGACGCGAAAAGCGACTCCGTCGCCGATGAGGACAGCGTCGCCAACAAAAATGCGAAAACCTATTCTTAATCGCCGATGTAAGAACGAAGCCGCAAAAAGAAAATCGCCGTTTCGTGCGAAGGTGCCCCCATGTGACTCTCAGTCACAAACTTGAACTGCGCCTTCGGTTTTGGTCTCTCTCTTGTGGGCGACGTATTTACTTTATCCGTAGTGTACCATTTTGGAATGTCAACCAAGCTTCTGGTCCACGATAGCAAATCGGGACCAGAAGCGGTGGTGCTCGCGATCGCGGGCGCATACCGCATTATGGCCAGCCGCACTTTCGAGGGCCGTCAAGGCAGCGGCTCATTGTTGCCAAGAGCAATTTCGGAAAGGGTCTATTCAAATTGAATTTAATTAAAAACACGATTAGTGACCATATTTAGGAAATGATTTAATATATATTATGTTGTAGATATGTCGTACTACGTAACTAAAAAAAGGCTCAAATGCGCCATTGTTATAAGTTAATGCTAAATACAATGAAGAAAATAAATTACGGGAAGATCCATTTTTGGATTCTTAGGGATGCATGAGCACGACCGTTGGAAACGCCACACACGTCCCCCTTTGGGAAAGGCTAACGCTGACCCCTTCCCCTTTTGGCTTTCTCTTTTGCTTTCTCTATTTTTTGCTGCCTTCTTTTTGGCCTCGTTACGGGATCAGTGTTAGCGTTTCTCAAGGGTCGTACGAAAGGATTCCCCGAGAATTCACCAATGGATCTTCCTGTAATTTGTCTCACCCCTTTTTTGTACTCTGCCTGCCCAAGTACGTCGACGCCCTTGATTACCGTCATCCACATCACTCGTATAACTCTTGGGTCGCTAAACTCGTCAAACACAAAGTTGGGGCTGAACTTGACGGAGTGCACCGATTGGCCTATAACGACGATGACTTGGCGCTTTTTTCGCCGACGTCTAATCGGCGCGCTCCGCAAACTTTTGGCTCCAACTTTGTGTTTGACGAGTTTAGGGCCCATGGAGTGAACCGCATCCACCGTTTTAGCTACACACACATCACGGCGAGGAACAACCGGCCACAGCAGAACGGCAACTGAGCACGCCCGTATTTTACCACGCAGCGGCGCAACACCTTCTAGATAACAAAGCCGTAGTGATGAGTAGTGAAATGGTTTAATCAGAGAGGGCCAACACTGGACACAGACTGGAAACGACTGCTGCGTCACCGCTCGGCTTCCAGTCGAGTTTGAGCCGAACGTTGACGCAATTGTCGTGTCCAATCTGTGCCCAGCGTTGGCCTTCTCTGATGACGCCATCTCGTTTAGCACTACGGCTTTGTTATGTAGGAGGTGTTGCGCGGCGCCTCCTCCTCTCTGGCTCTGCGCCAGCTGTGCGCGTGACTTTGCCGAAAACGAAAGGGCTCGTTTTGACGAAAGCCCGGCGGTGTCTGTCAGTTTGTCAGCGTCGGGGAGAGAGAGAGAGGTTGACGCGTGCTGACGTCAGCGCTGTAAACCAATGGGAGCGTCGCAAGTTATAACTGACAAACAAAAGACATCGCCGGGTTTTCGACAAAACAAGCGTTGTAATGTTAATGCATAAAAAAAAAAAAATCACAACTAGCGACGTACCTGTCGCCCTTCGAGGAAGCCCGCGAGTGTCCCAAAACTGCCTCCGTCAACAACCGGTCTTTGATAGACTCGCTCTTTCGAAGAGCTAGCTACGAGTCAGAATCTGCCCCAATATACTACAACGGGAAGTTGCACCCTCGCCGAGTTTCCGACATGTGTCGGCCGGACCTGCCTCGATCACGCACACAGTACAGCACTTCCTCCTTCTGATATCCAGGCGTCGTTCTTATTTTGCTCGCGTGTTCGGATTCAAGGATATCCGTCACACCCATGGCATCGGCGAACAGATTTGCAAGCCTGTCCGGAAAAACCCGGGCTTTTAAAATGGCCGTGTTTTAAAAATGTTGCAATAGCGTTTACGTCATACTGTCCACAAGAAAAAGAAGAGAGAGAGAAAGAGGGAGGCAAAGAGACGCAAAGAGCCATTGGAGTCAATTCAAACCCACGTGGCTGTCACGTGAGCTCCAGAAGGGGCACGGCGACGTGCTGGGCGCGTATTCACGATGATACGCTTACAGTGTTGCACTGGCTGGGAGCGAAAGCTGCGTCTCCCTCGAACTAAACAGAGCGACGTAGGAAACAAACCCCGTGACACACTGCATTCTGACGATACGATGGCAGCGATCGGTGGCCCAGCGCGCGAACTCATTGAAGTTCGGAGCCCATGCATGGAGCGAAAGCTCGCACTGCAGAATCCTGGGCCGGCTAGCTAGAACCCGAGTCGAAAAGCTGGTTCCCACTTTCGGGTCGGTTGCGTTCGCAGTAACCGAAACGACCGCAACGACAAAGTCACCGGAACAAGTGTTCGCCGTATACACACAGCACGGCAAGCGACAGCTTCGCGAAGCTCCCCATGAGTCAGGGTTGTCCCGGTGCTTTGGTCGCTTCGGTCGTTTTGGTTTTTTCGAACGCAACAGTTGCAAATATGTGAGCCAGTCTTAATACCTCTGTCGCACGGGAACGTTAATGTCAGTTTCAACGAACGACATTTGTGTGTGATCGACGGACCGGCTCGCGATCTGTCGCGCGTGGAATGCGCTGCGGACGGAGTGTTATGCGCTGATTGGCCGATCGTTCAAACGTCATTCGATAGAACTGATATTAAACAGACCGATCTCACTAAGCGTTCGGCGCATGCGTGACGTTGCCATTACTTTAGTTCGCAGGAGGCAGACTGGGGTGCACGCTAGGGTTCGTGAAGTCTCGTGCTCTACACGCGCAAAGCTCCAGTGAGGTTGCCGCACGTGCTGAAGGACTAAAGTTCCCTCGATGCATTGCGGCAGCGGTGGCGTAGTCAAACTGGCTGGTGAGATCGGTCTATCGCCAGCCTGAAACGTGCATTAGCTTAGACTGTGTGAAAGGAAGGCCGGCCAAGCCTGGAGAGCCCGAGCGCTTGAGACTCCACTTCCATAACTTCCTCCATACCCACAAAGCTTCGACAGTGCTTTTTTTTTCACAGAATCTCAGCTAAGACGCTAATTCTAGCAAGCCGGCCTAGGGATTGTTGGATCGGTCCTCACCCCTGCCCTTTCGGATCTGGGTGAGCACATCATGCCACCGGTCGTATATCATTACGGCGGGATGCACGTTAAAGAGCCCAGGCTAGCAGTCGTACTGCTCTGGCAAAATTTCTCATCTACAACTGAGAGACAAGCCGCCCGTTGAGGCCAGACGAAGTTCAAACTCTATAAATATATACCCCCTTATCTCTATGACTATTTGCTGGATCGCGTTTGCCGGTTTGCCCGCTCCGCGAATGAGGCCACGGTCGGCCATCTCTTTGGTAGAGTTTTATTATCTCTTTATCACAGTAGTATGGTGGTTGCAAGAACCAACCGTGGTAGTACTTATATGTTTCTGTGCAATACGCATTTCATGGTGTTAAAATCATTTTTCGAGTGCTCGCCTTCGGCATACACCCGATGGCTGATAACAATAAAATGAGGAACTAAACTTTAACCAATCAATAAATAATATTTTTGTTCTGAAAGTACCTGACACTAATTATTTGGGACATAAATATGATATTTTTAGAGTCAGAAGTACTATATTACATTGACGAGGTCTGTAGGCAGGTTGAAGATGGTCGGTATTGCACTTTTCCTTATATAGGCGCACAATATTCCCCGTCCTGCCAAACCATTTTTCTTCAAAGTGGTCCGAGCAGACCACGCTCGTCTCTGAAGGCCCCCAGTTACACCTGCCGGCGTTTTCCACCCACAGCTGAAGGGTCGCGGGGCGACTTCATAGACAAAGTACTTCTAAAGCCCTTGCACCTTCTAATGCTGTGGCTCGTACGGTGCACCTGAAAACAATAAATGTGCAAACCGCATGGTGATAAACATCGAGCTCCTTGATGAGACGGGTTTGCATGTATCCGACTTCAGATGCATACTGAAGATAAGGATGCACGAGCGCGTTATTTGTTGCAAGCTTGACTCGGCCTTGTATGCTAAAGAATCCATCAGCTTGTGCATTATGTCTGACACGCACTTGAAGTACTGGAAATGCCAATGAAGTATGCGTTCTACAGGAAAAAGCTACCCCTATTCCCCAGTACCACATTGAAACCATGGGAACCACAAGAAAAATGAATCTTAGACACTTTCTCGAGGGGGCCTTTACTCCATGCAGTCTCCTTCGTAGAGGACTTTTCGAGGCACTTAAGTTGACCTGCAACGAGAAAGTGCTTAAAGGGGCCCTGCAATGACTTTTTTTTTACTAATTTTTAATTTGCACCGAACCTGAGCGCACTGAAGGTAGTAACTTAGTGAAACTTTCCTTTTCTCGAATCTTGCTTTATATCTTAAAAGTTATAGGCAAATTAAAATTACAAAAACAAGCAAAAAATAACCTCCCTCATGACGTCCTTGGAAGTCCACCAGTGATCATCACAGCTGACCATTCAGGCTTGTGCTGCAACCACATGTCGAGGCACGGAAAGTGCCTAGGCATGCTGCACTGAGTTCCTAGTCCGGAAGTGGACCTTTTGGTACCTACATCAGACAAGAATGAAGAACCAATACACATCTAAATAAGACAAGAATGAAGAACAATACAGCACAATTATTGTTTGAATACAAGATGTGGGACTAGTTTGTGGAGTAGTGTATGTCCGATTATTGCTCAGACTACTGTTTTTGATAGAAAGTGCTGTGTACGATAACGCTCTTCAGATGTACACACACAACTTTTTGTTGTGAGGGGATAATGTCCCTTCGCGCACATTAAGCTTCAGAAAGTCTCTTTCAGATGGCCGCAGACATCAGTCCGGTTCGGGTGGTATGCCGTATGATATGGACCTTTGGTACTAGCTGTACACTGTCGGTACACTCTACTGCTTGCCGAAGGATGTCAATCTGCGAATGGTGTGGTGTCGGCGTATGTTTCCTACATTATTGCATATTTCTGTGGACGCGTAAACCGCGGTCTCAGTTAAGCAACAAATGCCAAGAACCAACAAACAACCAACCTCGATAAGCAGCAAATGTTATTGAGCAGTGGGTGTTCGCCGTGCAGTTTGGTGAACACGACACAAACACATGCAGACACAAAAACTGTTTACATATGGAACTGTTGTAGTTACCAATTGCACAGACAGCTTAGTGAATGCCACCTAATGAATGCTTTCATGTGTATGCAGAAAGTAAACACTCGCTCATCATTTTCAATTTTAATTTAATTTCATTTTAGGTTTTCATGTCTGAGAATCTGACGATCAAAAAGGTTCGTCTGGGAGGAGACTGTGTTGCAACACAACACCGTCTCATCCCACATTCACTGGAAATGTGCTTTGGTCATGATCATTCTTGCAAGGAGGGTGCGCTCGAGCCGCTACTATCATTGTGCTCGGTAACCCGATCGGGAGTTCGTTTTATTTTAACGTATTTCTGTGCTCTGACAAGAGCCGGCAACCGTTTAATGACTTTTTTTTTCTTCATAAGAACGGGAGTACGTGCACGCTCGGTCGTGCAAGCTGTCGCAGGATACAGATTAGTTTTAAAGTTGTGATTGATATCGCTACGTCAGAGTTTAGATCTACGATATCATCTCAGCGTACAGTTTGATTAATTAACTGTGGCACTACTAACGCAAACAACAGAGGTGAACTTACGTGTACGTTGATGGAGAAGTATCCATTTGTGTTTCAAGAACGCTTCCACATCGGGACCGCCGGGTCCTCTTATCTATGCACCCAGTCGCCCCTGGAAACTTCATTTCGCATCAGCCCCGCATGAACGCATTAAAGTTAGCTGCGCCGTGCGGAAACTTCACCGAGCGGGTGAAAATGGTCCGTGCGAGGAGCCGCGAAACCCGGCACACTGTCGGCTCCGGCATGTTCACATGGTTCTCGTAACAACTTGGAACGTCCTGGCACCATAAAAGCTCAAAGCAACGAGGAGCCGCAGCATCGTTGAGGGCGGCAGGCCCTGTGTACTCCCGCAACTGGCAGAGACAGCAGAGTGCTCGCTACGGTCGCCTTCGTGAAGCGGCACCGCACAAGAAATTCGCGGTCACTGAAGTGCTCCAGCGGGTTCAGGCGTTCTCTGAAACTTCGTCTCGTCACACGTCTCGGTTCGCTGTCGCCTGCATCGTCGTAGAAGATCTCTTCTGCGCCTAAAACGAAGTGCACGAACTCCGCGAACGACTCGCCGGCCGCCATGACACTCCAAACTCAAGTCGAGGAGCGGCTCGAGGAAGCGACAGAGCTACCTTGAGGTTCTCGAGGAAAGAGTCGAGTAGGGGCGTTTGGAGTGGAGGTCGGTTTATGAAGCGCCAAACCGGCCTCGAGTGGAGTTTCGAGTCGAGTTTGAGTCGAGTTCGAGTCGAGGTCCGTTTATGAATTCGGCTGTTAGAGTGCCCGGTCGCTGATTTAAAGCGTGATGATCTGGTAGCACAGAGCATTTCTCTAAAAACCTGGACGTCAGCGCACAGCTTTATGCGGTGGCGAGGACCCGAAACACGATTTTCAAACCCGACGGGGAAAGAAGCCGTAGCGCGAGGAACGCGCGGAGCACGAGCGGACATTCC